CCCAAACTTCTTGAAAGCAGAGCAGAGTTCTACTGTCACGGCACACTCTTCTGAGCGCATGTTCTGCTAGAGCTGGTCTATAAAGCACCTTTGTGAAATGGTGACATGGGAAGTTACAGTGAATAAAAACAAATAATGAGCAAGGGAACACTTACTGCTTTTCCCACAGCTCTGGCAGATCTCACGGACCATCCTTTTCTTCACATTCACATCTTTTAATTTATTGAAGTCTGGAAAGGTAACTATTTTTTCAGATCTGCCTGTTATTGGCAGAAGCTGTTCTTTAGGAAAATCTCCGATGCCCAAAGCCAGGATACAAATTCCACGGTCCTTCAGTGTTTTAACTGCATCTGTCACATCATAGACCGGATGCCCAGATGTGATAACAAGCAAAGTTTAAGGGACACCAGCATTTCTTCTCCCACCAGCAGATGAGTCAAACATATATTTCACACGTTGAAGAGCAATGTCAATTCGCTGAGACCCATTGCTCTTGGCAGTAGTTTCAATTTGAGTCTTCATCTGGGTTTTATTCCAACAGCTTTTCAAATCAATAATTTCCTGGTAGCGGCTCCCAAATTGAGCCATTCCAATTCTGATTCTTTCTGACTGAGTGTCAAAATTATCAATGAAGTCTGACAAGAAAGTTTTCATGGTAGCGAAGTCCCAATCAGATACAGTAGTCAAGGCATCACAAAGGAAAATCACATGGCTTGTTGAAGGTTACAGACTGCAATAGGCAAAAAATAAAATACATTATTTCCCCCTACAAATCATTCTAAACGTTTCCTTTACTCAAATACTTAAATTGCTTTACTAAATTGCTACATTAGTAGCAAATTGAGACGCATTAACAGAGAGATAATCACTGATTGGTCCTCAAAGAGAAGGAGAAATAGTGAGAAAGAGGAAAGATAATCATTTGTTTCAAATTTTAATAATTTATGGGTTTCATTTGAAAAGACACTGAAAGCTACTCAGAGGCTAGAAGCCCCTTTAACACACTCAGATTGGAACATTCACCCAAGTCAAGGTAACTGTACTACTGTATTACCATTAGTAAGGAGCCTGGTGGCAAAGTGGTTAAG